GTTCAGCTATGCGTTTCCACATAACACATTAACAACGCCCATTTTAGTCTTTTTTTCTCTAGACTCTTAAATTCTACTTCCTTTTTAATGAAGTTTTGCTACACCTAACTAATTTTCAGCCACCTCCCCCTCCCACCTCCTCAAAATTTCTCAGGATAAACCTATTTTCTAATCTTCTTATCATACAGCAATGAAAACATGTCGAAGAAGACGAATTCCTCACGTAAATAATGACCATTAATACCATTATTTTATTGAATGTAATTTACAACACTAATATTTATATATGTATGACTACTGCTTATATTCCCTTTGGATATAAACATCTATCCTCATTACCTTCCTTTTCACTATGAGTCTCAGTCACTTTGTCATCTATCAAGTGAGTTACTTGTAAATGTATTACAATTAATCATTATTATCATCAAAAATTCAAATTGACATAAAATCGATATTAATAACTCCATCTTCATTCGGTTTATGATATTAGCTTATTTTTGATTGGTTGTTTCATTCCTATGATAATTAGCATCTATACCTACTCACAAGTCTGCATGGATCATAAGTGAAGAGATTATTATTATTATTATTTAAGGTTCTTCCCTAGTGGAACATAGGGATTCAGTGGTACATCGCCCTCCATTTCATTCTCTTCTCTTCAGTCTTTTATGGCTGGCACCACGATCGCCCATAAGCTTCCACTTTCTCCTTCTAGTCGTCTTCCCGTCACCTTGCGTTCGTGAGCTTGGTGCGCTATATCACTCAATATTCACTTTAGAGTGTGTTCAATCTGTCTACATTTCATTCTGTATATTTGTTTGGTTACTGGTTCTTGATTGGTTCACTGCTTCTAGCACTTCCCTGTTGCTTTTGGCTTCTGGAATGTCACTAAAATATTCGGTCCTGTTGAAAGAAGGCAGCTTGTCATAAAAGTTTTTAGCTTATTGGAAATGTTTTTTTAGCCTGTAGTTGAAATGGTGCTTCTTGGGTAGGTGAAATAAGTCGCTTCTTTCAAAGCAGTAGTGAAGTAAAGCATAGTATAGAATAGTGAAGCACAGCAAAGCACTACTGGCTACGTGTGTAGCCATTGGCTAATTGATGACTCTTGGAGTAAATCTATACTTAACATTAAAATAAGGAATATATCGTGTCAATAACACTCAATCGCCACACTGTGAATAAGATTAACCATACTCTTCATTGCATTACTGGACACTTTTAAACGCTTAGAAGTTCCATTGACCAAGTATAAAATCCAGAAACGAAGAGAAAATCTATAGAACATATGTGGTGCCGCTAAGTGGTTTTCAGATTGTGGTCGAACACACAGTGTTAGCAAACGAAAATTCAGCATACAATATATATGAATACCAGTATTTAAGGATGCAAATAATGCTGCAGCTTTCAGTTTAAGTTACTTAATTTAACTTTAAAATGCCTCAGATTGCCAAAGTTTAATGTGGTCTCCTGGAATCACTGTACACTGTCCATGGTGCGATATGGTTACAGAAAAAATCCTGAAAGTATTCTGTCTTATTCTAAAATTGAATATTAGCCTAATAATCATGTGGTGATACTTCTTCAAAGCTTGGTAATTGAAATCGAACTCGATTTTCTTTGAAAATCCAAGATATTCAAATCACACACAATATGTGGTCTGGCTAGTACCATAATTTGTCAGAATAAAAACAGTTTGGGCAAAGTTAAACTTTGAGCACCACAAACTACCAATCAGCAAATGACCTTGAATGTGCCAATCACATGATGGAGGCATTTTTTGGTTACGGAATACATATATTTATGAAAAAATGCATAAAAATTGTAGAAATGGGTGACAGAGGATACCTTTCGCTCACGTGTAATAAAAATATCTCCCAGTTTAACACAGGAGTATCTATAGAAAGGTTTAACGACATCCCATTCAGACTTTCATCTAAATGACTATAAATAACATCCTCTTGAGATCTATTAATGGCTCCAATTTCGTTTTTTAACCTTCCCAAAAAGTCTTCTTTAGGATTGGTATGGGTCGCTGTAATGGGATCCACAAAATCATTAGAATGGTTGACTCCGCCGTGAATATATCTAAGGGATGACTAAGAGTTATAACCTTTCCACTCATCTGTGTGTATTACAGATCCTTGTTTTCCCAGTCGAGTAACAATATTCATTAAAGTACTTGACTTTCTATCTATGATTCTGTCGATGAATCCTTTCCGTAGAGAGATATCATATAAACCAATGACCTAAACATAGTTCGCTCTTCCTCAACAACGGTTGTATTTTCTCTTTAATAAGACAGTTTCATTTACATGTACGATGATACCTTCTGCTCCCAATAAGGAAGTAAGTCTCTCCAATTTCCACGATGCGATAACCCTGCAGTGCTGGTACTACTGAACTGCTGATACGAAACTATTTTCATTTTCACCAGCTGCACCTCTCACAGGTTGTTTCAAAACATAGTAATTACAAATATACAAAATCTAGGTTAAGGATAGATGGTACCTGGCAGAAAATGTCCTTACAAAATATTAGAATCATCAGCTTACCTTCCCTGACAATAACTCGTCTCAAACAAAATTTACAATGATGCACATTTGCATAAACCGATCAGCTGAAGCTTTTCATATTCACCACACCACATGAACAAATCCTTCCTTTCCCAAACAATCCCTCATCTAAGAAATAATGGAAGACTTGATCCTCACTGAATCGCAAACGTAACTGTATCACAGTGGGTATTTGACTCGAATTGAGCGGAAAGAAGCTTTATCTCATATGGACAAAACTCATTGGACCATTTAGGGTCATTTGCGCGGATGCACTCCATTGGTAGTTAGTAGTGCTTAAAGTTTAACTTGGTTGTGGTTTGAATTAACTGATTCAGCTGTCTGAGCTAAGTGCTTCTGACGACTGGAGAAGGGAATACTTTTCTGATAAGTGTGTCAATAAGCAGAAAATCCCTTTTAATCGACTTAGAACATTCAAAACTAACGGACATCTTTTAAAAATATAAACAAAATTCGTAATGGATACAGGTTAAGTCAATAAAACAGTGCTACTGGGTGATTCACTCATGAGAGATACGCAACAATTGATACTTATATTTTTGAATCACTTGAGTTCTCTGGGTTCGGTGATTCAGTTGTAAAGCTTTCATTGTCCTCTTAATCGACTACATCAGGATAAAAATTCAATATGAAGTGAAATTATTTGAATACCTCCTCTATGAATGATGATATAATTGTATCACCCGACAAACGTTTTCGTGAATGGTTGTTGGTGTGGATTAGTTTTGTTTGGTTTTATCAACTTGAAATTCGACTCGTCTTTTATCATTTGACCTATTCTTTATTAGATTATGAGATCTGAGTGGATTTGGATTAATTTCATTTACCAGATTTCTACACAAAACAACGTCAGTTAAAGAGATTATTTAAAATTGAGGAGCAATAGACAGCCATTTAGTCCTATTTTGGTACTCCTCTACGGCGCGCATCCACGACTACACTAGGGCTCTTTTTTACTGGATAAACTTTGTCTGTAATAATGTGTCTGTTAATCTCTGATTCTCAAGTATTGGTTTTGTAGGGATTTTGTTTGATTTTATGGAGGATTTCACCATGAGCTGACATCAGTTAGAGAACCACTGGGAGTACTGGACAGCTGTTTCGTCTTAGTTCGGGACATCCTGGGTTCGGACCCCCTGTGGATGCGTACTGATGAAGAGTCCCGAACTAGGATGAAACAGCTGTCCATTACTCCCAGGTTTTCCAGTGGTTCTCTAACTGATGTCAGCTCATGGTGAAATCCTCCATACAATCTCTGATTCGTCTGAGTGACAGGCTTCTTGGAATTCTGTGGCATTTTTTGTCTCATTTATCGATTGCTGAACAATATGATGACATAATTTATCTAACTTATGTTGTATTACTACGCAACACGCTTCCAACAGTGTGACCACAAACACAAACAATCACATGTCATACGTATATATATACTAATCTAGAATATTCTATGTATATAAACGTATATATAATTGTAGAGCCGGAAGAGGAATTTATCGAAAAGGATATTCTTTGCTCACCTATTTTGTGTTTTATATGAATATGTATGACAAGTAGTTGCGTCAGGCCATAATATTGCTCGAAATCTGCGTCAAGTGATTTATGTCTTCTTATTGTTCTGAAAGAATTTCAGAAGAGATTAAATAGTCTGATCGGGTTCCTCATACGGCGCTTATACTTCAATATCATTCAGACAGACACTGAAAATCAGAGACCATTGGATGACTGTTTTGTCCTGGTCTGGGACTCCTCAGCAATACACACCACAGACTACATTGGAGATCACCTTACGAGACAAAGTTTTCAGTTATTCAGTCACTTGAATTAGATTTCAGTCATCCGTGAAGTCTAACGTCTGTCCTTTCCCGAAACACATAAAGCGCTACCGCCAACCCCCGCCACTGATAAGTATCCACTTCACAGACGAGTAATTCTCCCTAGGCCATCACGATATCCATCCAGTAACTATCAATCAGCTTAAGATTGATATTAATTTTTATGAGTTTTGTAGGGATTTGAATCAATTTAGCAGAAAATGTTGATTTTTCCGATAGGATATTCATTTCGGAGTAGAAATGAGGTTAATTGCCTTTTTGGGGCAATTCTTCTATTTCAAATTTTAAATCCATTTCAAATTAAACTGTTAACTTCTATTCAATTCAATGAATTGAACTTATTCATTAGAGTTTTATAATGAACACCACATTGAACAACTGAATTCATAGCAATTGATCTTAGTATTCAAGGTCTGTTTTATTAAATAATTGGCGTTTAAATGAGAGTGAACCTGAAATGCGTAGATTATATTTAATGAAAAGTGAAAAATTAAAAAGAATTCTCAATAATAAACACTTTTGTTTCTGAAATTTGTTTTTTCAGTTAATAACAACGAATAGTGAATGTATTATGTTTTATTAATTTTTTTTTTAGTTGTTTTATGCCTTTCTATGGGCCACAATGTGAATATAAAGCTCCAAGTAGAGATAAACAACTGGATTTAGAAGATATAAGAAGTAAGTTGGAAATTTTAGGGAAAACAATTACACATGGACACCCGCAACCACAAACATATGTATATATGTGCATACCAACAGCATTCATCACGTCCCCAAATAAAATTTTTCCTTCACGTTCCCCAGTGGAACATAGGGCCTCAAGCTAGTGGCTTGAAGTTTCTGTAGCAGTGTTTAATTTTACAGGATGGGGTTGCCAGCCTCATGCCCAACCTTTCTTCCTCACCAGCATTTTATCTGGTTTAGGGAGGTAAAGGAATGCGTCCGCCGCGAATCGAACCCCGGACCATATGCATGGTCGGCGAGCGTCCTAATGACTGTGCCACCGACGTCCCCAAATACTATTTTTAATTTCTTGCCTTCTGAGAGGAAAATAGGGCGTCAGAAGAACACTTTAATTCTACTGGGTCTGCGGCTTTCGTTTTAAAATGGATTCATGGCTGCGCATAAGCCTTAAATCCCATTTCATGTTGTCTCTTCGATGTTGCTTTTGGACATACAGCTCTTCGTTCCCCATTCGAATTTCACTCAAAGGCTTGTCTAGCATGTGAAGCCACTTGAAGATATCCATAGACTAAGTCTCTGGGCCCAGAGAACACTATTAATTGTAAATAAATTCCTTCTACCCCTCATATATATGCATATCTCAAATTGTTCATGGGATCAATAATGAATTTGAAATTATGAGACATTCGATCTCGATTTAACAGACTAAAATTTAATACATATATGTTAAATGGTTTTGAGAATACTTTGTCTAAGTCTTCCTCAGGGTTTCACACATATAGACTGTTAAAAAGTCTCAAATTAGAAAGGGATATTTATCCAACTGTATGTCCTGTGGAACTAAACCATCTACATTGTTCATTAAGTGTTATACATTTGTTTTTCAATCGTCGGCTTGAACATACAAACTAATGTAAACTGTAATGTATCTGGAAATGGCACAGCAACATAATCCAGGATAATAATAACAGCTTTATTCTGGACGGTGTTTATTCAGTGTACAGAATTTTCAGCGGACTTCATTGCATGAAATTTCCCATACATTCAGAATTTTCTAACAAAATATTGATTGACGGTAGATCATTGTACGACATAATGCCATCTGACCAGAAGCGCAAACCAATTCATTATGCTATTTCTTTTTTGCCTCCTGCAAGAAACGCACGAAGCTGGGTTAAAAGCAGGCCATGAAAAGTTCATAAGTACATTCTGAGACCCAGAGACACATAATTCAGGGATAGTATTAGGATATGTCGGCACCTACAATTATGCTTTTTCTTAAGTTTGGCTGGTTGTAAACATTTCAAATACTCACGAGATTAAATAATACCATTAGAAGACATATTTTAATAGATTAAAACAAAGTGAACAGTAGAAATCATTTGCAGTATATGGATGGAGATTTTCAGTAGCCCAAGTTTCAGTCAAACCACTGACTCTATGTAGTTTCTGTCCCATCTAAGATTCATCAATTGTGAGTAACTATATTCTCAACCTAGACTTTAGTGAACACTATATCTTAATTAAAGTGAACGTGCCAACAAACACCTAGGTATTTTGTAGCTGATATGTCTTCAATGTAACAATGTGCCTGTCCTGGATCCCTCTACTTAACACTATTAGGGCATATATATATGAGAAGATTGTATTATAACAGGAGCTGGTTAATTTTCTGCTGTAATTCACAGTACGTCAAGTGAATAAAGTGTGAGAGACAATCAACACTTTACATGAGATGATATTGGTCTTGCAGACTGTTATTCATGCTGTATTTGATGATCAAACAAGTCACTTTGGAGTTTCTAGTCTGGCGCTCTGCTCGATGACCCAGGAGACTCCCCTGCTAAGCAGGCCATCTCTTCAGAGAAGTTACTGCTGGTAGTGACCAGCTTTTATGTAAACGAATTTTGTGTAACTATCCGTTTTTCACCAAACTAGATAATGAGTTCCTTAACATACTGCATTAGAAGAAGATGAGGAGCAGGTTGTTAACTGATTAACGGACACTAGTGTATCACTCGTCTGCATGATACAACTGGTCATTACGTGTGATGGCCTGAATAACGGCTGGGTCTTTTGTAGCTCATTCAGTTGCTAAATCACTGGACTAGTAATCCAGTAGCCACTGGTTCAAACCCCACAGTAATTTTCATTTCACTATCACTTGTAATCACTCATGAAAGTAATTTCCCTTTTCGTTTCTGAAAATTTTAAAGATGTTCATTTTTATGTTTCGTTTGTTTGTTTGTTTTTCTCTCAAAACTTTTAATTTAATTTAGAAAGTGTAGATGATGACGACACCAGTGATGGCGTCTTAATAAAGCGATCAGTAGACCGTGCAATGACACTGACAGCACTTATCTTTATAGCTGTCACTTTTCTTGGGATGGTAATATTAGCTTGGTACCTTTCAAGGTGAGTTTCTTTCATAAATGGCTTGTTGATGGCCATGCTCGTTTATTTACTTACTTATTTGTTTTTTATTCCTTTGCTTTTGAGTAGAACCTGGGGAACTTCAAGTCTAGGCTTTGAAGTTTCGGTAGCTATGATGTTGTGTTTATGGGCTGACGTTGCTTGCCTCAGATCCATCCCTTCTTCTTTTCCAGGATTCACGACTGGCTAGTAAACTAGGCAAAGTGATGGACTGGATAAACTCTGAGGTGATCTTCAAGTGACATAACGCTCCATGACCTACAGTGGAACCCGAATTGGAATTGATGAGCAGGATATCCGTCCGAGGGTGATATGGAAAAGACTATATGAAGAGGATATGGAAGATTTCAGAAAATAGGGGAGCCAGCCAAAAAGGACTGCAGGGAATAGGACAAAATATTCAGATGTGTTGCTGAAGTCCTACATTTTGATTAGAAACCCAAGAGAATAATAATAAAATATGTTCATCTTTTGAATTCTGCTTAGTTCCTTAAGTTAACTGTCTCCCTTTTACTTTTTTCCCTTGCAGACGTCGACGTAAAGATTTTGCACGATGGAAAAGAATGACAGAATTAGCAATGAAGGTATGTTCTGTTTTACTCTTATTTATTTATTGTTATATTATTGGTCTAATGAGTGGTGATCGAAGATAAGATGTAAATGTGGTTGGTTTCCTGAAGCAGTTAACACAGCAACCAATGAAAAACTAGTCTGGCGCTCTACTAGCTGAGTTACGAGACTGAACCGATAACCAGGTCATGATTTCACAGTGGGTAACACAGTTAACGTACAGTTGTCATATGAACAAGGGACATGTTACTACCTCTTTATCAGTATTTTCAGTCAATTTATAGTGGAGTCGGGACTATGGGCTCTGTTTCAACTAACAATCCATTGAATAAATGTATCTTTAGCATATTTCTGAAGCTACTGGATGAGAATTGAGATTTGAATACGTCTTTAATGATGCTATTTTCATAGATTGTGGCTGTCAGTGGAATCCCTAACTCGCTTTTTGTTTTGTTTTGGGGACCCTCATTTGGATATACCTGGATCATAAAGAATGATGTTATTCTCCTTGAGGCTCGTAACCCAGCAGCCATCGTTTCAAATGCCAGAGTGTTATCCACGAGATTTACCTTTTGTGCAAATGGTATTGACTGACACCTATTTAAAGTTTTCTGAATTCCTTTTGAAACTTTCTAAGCAGATAGAAATACTCAGTTCTCTGTGCATTCATGACAGCATACAGAATAGCGTTCAAAGCGATCGAATCTCAAAATGTTTGCCACACTATTGATTTACTGGTTAGCAATTAGAATTTGATCAGTCCGTAACATACCTCTGCCACTCTCAGTAGCGGAATACACCCGCAGGTGAGTTAAGGAATACACTAGACAAATGGAAGGTAGGCCGAATATTATTGGCTGTAAGGCAAGTAAGATGGCGAGAATGCATGCACAAATAACAGAAATAAAAGAAAAAGACAGAACAGAACTAGAAACGATAAAAGTAATAATACATATTATAATAAAATTTTAAAGTATATGGAAACAGTTTCAGGTAATTAGGATATTTGTAGTATCAGTACAGTCCCCTAGAACTAGTTCATTTACCGTGTAGATAAACACAAACCTATTGCTTTTGCACAATGACCTTGCCTTTTTTTCACCTTATCGAATGATCGAGAGACTTCCACATCAGTGAGCTTCATAGATGGCAAACCCTTAGAGAAAAGGAGTTGGCCCTCACCTCTGTTAATGTCCTCTAATGAGCACTTCTCTTAGGATTACCCGGTGGGATACAACCGTGAGCTTCTGGTAATATTTCTCCCATAGGATGCATTGAACTATGCACCATTTCCTGTGCTGTGATGAGTTTGCCATTCGCCCTTCTGTAGTTGAGGTATACAGATCCAACTATCCTGATTGATCATCATATGTTCGACACTTCAGTCCAATGACAGTTTTAGTAGCCCTCATTTGTACTCTTTCTAAGATATTCACACCTCTTTTTAGAAGTAGTAATGCAGTGACGTTGAGAACTCCTAAGATTTGTCCGCAACTAAGTCTTGTATAGTTGTATAAAGAGTCGTGGTTTATATATTTCCAGTCGCCTGAAGCATAAAATACATCGCTTTAATGACTTTGAATGCATCGCCTGATTATTTAAGATTTGTCGCTAATATATCGGTCAGGAGTACTTCATTAAATCGAAACCAAATTTCCTAAATCAAAGCAACTAAAATTAGCTTTAAGGGAAAATGGACAGGCACTATTATTAATGATGCTCAAATGGACCATTTCCAGCTTATTTAAATATGTAGATAATTTTATTTTGACTGTTACCTATAGCAACGAGAATTTAAATCACTTCAATCAAACAATGTATGTAAGTTACTCAACTGAGAGAGCAACAGAAAAAGAAAATCAGTTTTGTTTTTAGTCAACTAATCACTTTTAAAATGGGAAACAGTGTTTTTTAGAAAAAAAATCACCATCATTATTTTAGCTGAACCTTTTATTTTTGATTGTCATTTTCAATTGTCTACCCACCTAATTATCATTCCAGTCTAATTGTATTGAAAAGCTCGATAAGCAAACTCAAATAACGTTGGAATATTCTGAAGGTGCAAAAGAAACCACTTCATTGATCCAATCAACTCATTCATCATTAACTAAGAGTAATTATCCTTGTGATGGCAATGCCCAGAAGGCAGAATATGAAACAAATCAACAGATAGAAACACAATTTGAATTGGTTAAACCATCAGCGGAAGAGTTTCTGTATCAAAAGGAAGAGAATGATGGCAGTTCTAGTGATAAAATATATCAAGATATGGATTTAGTGGATGATGGAAGTAAGGTTTTTTTTGAGATGCTATTGTATTTTAATATGAATGCGTTATGGCATGTATTACTCACTGATATGATATCATATGATATGGTTAAATAACACTCATATCAACAAATACCTGTTTGCTAGTCAGATTGAAGCAGCATAAACACCAGAGGAACGATTCAATCATCCCAGACTGAGTTCATAGATTGCGTTCACTTTTGCAATTTATATCGGACAGTCGAATTAGCTCAAACCACCCGAATATGGGATAGCTTACCAGCTACTTTGTCGAAAGGGTAATGGTAACTACACAGTTCTAGCTGAAATTTCACCACAGTTTCTTTTCTAAACCAGAGCTATTCAGATCAGAGTATATGATCTACTTGAATTAATATATGACGATCAAGAAGGCAAGTACAAATGTATCACTGTGTAAACTGATAATTGACTGATATGAATGGATGGATTCAATATAAGTTCTCCCAAGAAGCCGATAAGCTAGAACTCACCTTAGTGATCTGAGACATACCAGGTATAAAACCGGTGAGCTCTACCTCAAATGAGCTGAAAATCACTCTGATATTTAATCCACTTCTCTCCGGTTATGAAGCATTACTAGCTGCTGATATGAGTGGTATACAGCTACTATTTTGAATTTCACATCGAACTGCCTGTAATTAGCAAATTATGGATTTGATTGCAAACAAATTTTAACTACTTCTACGTTTTTAAGTAGACGAATTAGAACTTCAAAAAATTAATTGGTGTTTAATAATCCTAGATGGTCAGAGGAGTAAGTACTCTTGTATTCAATCGCTTTCTCGACATATTTCTAATTCAAGAAGGTGTTTCATATAAGCTGGATTTAATTTTTATTCTTTTTAGTGAAATTTTGGCTATAACCTAGAGATATGTTAGTGTGAATTTTTGTTTAATTATTCAAACACAAAGTTGCAGTATTTTTCTGAGGAAATCGTGTATTTGCAAGTGTTATTTTAAATTTGGTATGATGATTCCAAGTAAAATACTTGAAGACTTAATGAGAACTGCAGAAATTCGCCAGTGGTTAGCTCAGGTCACTTAGCAGTCTAAATTCCAATCTAACATAGTACATTAGATTTTCTCCTCTTATTATTGTTTTAATCATTCATTCGTGTACTTGTTTGTTTCTTCACTTTGAAGAAGTGTGATTCGTACTGTTTTATCAAGATTCCCGCGTATTCTGTAGATAACTTTGAAGTTGTTTTGTGGATTTGCTTGACCGAATATATTCTGATCCAGTCAGAATACCAAGCAAACGAATCATACTTCTTCAAAGTAAAGAAACAATAGCAATTCACACGTTAAATCCAGAAAGTTTATTCAGTCATTAAATCCACAGTGGACTCGATCTATCTTAACACTAAATAGGTAATTTTTTTATTTTTATTGTATTATTTTCTTCCCCCCACACCCTTTTAAATCTCTACCCCTTATTAACACTTTCATTAACCTGACTTTTGTTCAATTTTAATTTTAGATGAGCTCTACTCAACATGCTTATTTAGCTTCATTCTAGTTCCTACCCGATTAACTCTTTCCACATTACGTAATCTGTTATCTAAAATTTACAATTCTAATGACACATCTCTAGGAATATCACTTTGGTTGCCAATAAAATTTACCATATATTGCAGTTGTATAGCTTGAGAATGATATCGCCAAAAAGAGTAACCAAGTTAGCGTCGGTGGTACAGCGGTTAAGACGCTCGCCGACCACGCACATGGTCCGAGGTTCGATCCCCGGCCGACGAACTCCTTTACCTCGCTAAACCAGTAGTGAGACTGGTAAATAGGAAAGGTTGGGCATGAGGCTAGCAACCCCATCCTGTAAAATTAAACACTGCTACAGAAACTTCAAGCCACTAGCTTGAGGCTCTATGTTCCACTGGATACATGAAGGAAAAAAACCAAGTTTACTTTAAACAATGTGAAAAAATTTGGGCATTGAGTATGTAATATTCATTATAATAAAGGCTTTCTGTATTTCCAAATGAATGAAAAATATAACACTCTGAAAACGGGTGATAAAGAAAACGAAGAAGAAATATCAAACATTACTGAGACTCTCAAGCAAAACAACTACTCAAAGAACTTCATCAACAAAATCAACATTGACATTAAGTATGGTAGAAAACGTATTCCGAAAACATAGACCTCAAAAGCTGTCATTCCACACAGAGCGGAGGCGTCAGACGATATCAAAAGAGTACTCAGTAAGCTCGAGATCAGAGTTTTCTTCAAAACATTAGACACACTGCGAAACAACCTTGTCCATATAAAAGACCAAATCCCTAAAGATTCTCTATCTAATTGTTTCTATAAAATAAATTGCTTGGAATATGATGCCATATACTTTGGACAGACATCTCGAGAAATCAAAATCAGAAGAAGTGAACACCGTAGACCCGACTATGTTTGACCACCGAGAAATCCAGTTGAATTAGAAAAGCTTGAAAAATCATCAGCCATAGATCTACACGCTATAGAATCAGACCACAAAATCGACTTTGACAATATTGAAATAATTCAGAAAAATTTCAGAAATCACAAAGAACGTCTAATATCAATCAGAAGGACTTCATATCAAATAGAATCCAAATTGTCATATTAGAAATCATGGATTAAAAGAGAATCTGACCTGGTTACAACATACACAAACCGCCTCCCCAATGAAGTGAAAAATCAACACGAATGTGATAAGCGATTTCATCATAGAAAAACACGCTGCTTCTATAATTTTACACACTTATCAAATTCAACAATCTACACCTGGTTTTGTTATCTTTGCCAGTTGGCTTACTTGACAACGAAAAATGACCTCATGCTGAGGAACGATGATTAAGTTGTTATATATAAGCTGAGATTTTGTAAATTCTGATTTAATACTACTTTGATAAAGCTACCAGCAGCATTAAATAGCGAAATGTCAGTAAAAACAACTGCATCGTTTTGTTTTTCATTCATTGGGAAATACAAAATACCTTTATTATAGGAGTAACTCTTTGCTGAATGCCTTTCCTCTTATATGATACATAATTTCATTTCGAAACTTGAATGTTTATTGTTTTCAACCGACTCTTCTCTACACCTCATGAGGAAATCTTAAAGGTAAATATGATTACTCTTCGAAAATATTTACCTAACTTTTCTTTCTTTTGTAAAGTGTCCTGAACATACGCTGCATTAGTGGTTCAGTAACAGAATGATCACTAACCAGACACACGGAAGGTTGTCCGCCAGCACACTCTCTAACCCTGAATAGAGGGAAGGTTAGCCCTGAAACTAGTAACTCCAGGTCTGTGAATAGAACAACAACACCAACGCTACTGAAGTTTTAAAAACATGGAGACTTATGTCTCAATAAAAACTCAAGGAATCGAAAAAAACGCTGTTTTAAAATCATATTAAAGTATTTCAGTGTAACACATATGTCTTTTCACTGTGATCTCAGGTTGTTTCAATACCAGGTAAGGTTGAAAGACAAATGCGTTCACTATCTTCAACCTTCAAACAACTAGGCTGAATAAATCATTCTAGATATGTATTCATTCTATCTAAAAGTATAATTCCCTACTTATTTACAGAATCACCAGGAGTTATTGAAAATAAAAATACTATTGAGCCTACAACTTATGAAAGGGAGGAGAGTGAACCCAGGAATAATGACAATTCTGTTTCTGCTACCGCTATTGCAGAGATAAAATCTGATCTACAAACAAAACCAAGTGAAAAAAGAAGGACAAAAAGTAAAAAAAAAGCACCATTGCCTAATTCACCACATTTTGCTCATAATCAGCTGCCTAATAATCCTCAAGTAATTGAAGAAACCGAGGAGAAATTCCCGCATGGTACAGCATCTATCAGTGCAAATGAGGAATATAAAGGTTTAATTGATGATCAGGAAGGGAAAGGTACTATTTTTCTACAATTTTTAAATTATAATTTCTCAGTGAGATATAAAATAAAGATTTCAGTGAATAAAATTCTCATTTTTGTAGCTGTACAACCTTATATATACACACTGATTACTATAAACAGTAACAAGTAGTTATGTATTGAAGACAGTGTTGACGAAGAACCCGGACAATTGAAAGAATTTTATGTAGAAAATGGGTATCCAATATGATTTGTTGAATTTTTATTATTATCCGCTTGGGTTCCGAGGAGAAAATCGGACTTAAGTATCACATCTCCATTACATCTTATTCTCTGTAGTTCACTTTAACTGGCCCCATGATTACTCCTAAGCTGTCATCTCTTCTTCACACAATCTCCTCCATACCATCCTCGGAATATCACCGAACTCGTCACTTTCCATTCGGGTCTCATTCGAGCGAAAGCCTGGCACGTGTTGTCACTTAACGTTCTCCTCACCATGTCTGATCCATTTTCATCCGTATATTTCTTAGGCAGTAAGCTGTTGGTTGGATGGTTGACAGAATTCCCTGTTGGTTATTCTTCTTGGCTATATGATACTCCGTATGTGGCTTTGGCAGCTGTTGATGAAAACCTGAAGCCCGTTGGAAATGGTCTTTGTATGACACACGCCAAGTCTTTGAACTAAATCGAAGCACTGACTGACCTGATATTAGTGTTGAAAATCGGTCTATTTTCTTTTATGATGGGTACAGCATATTTCCACACTGATTTTAGGGTAATGAAGGTCTGCCTCGCCTTTCCGATCCTAGTTAGCTTTGATGTCCACGTCAAATCGTGTGGTAACTTAAACTGATACGTTTCTGTGTGTAATTCCATTTCATTTTATCCCTCAGTCAGTAACCATGATAGATGAGAACTGTTTACTTGTACCACTTAGTATTCGTCAGAATTATATACTTATGACTTTGATACAATTAGACGTCTCTCTGTGATCTGCACACTTCTGTCACTGATTTGTTAACTAGAACAGTTGAAACAGTATTTACATGAGAATTTACTAAGACTAAGTAGAAGGTGTTTCAGTCTCCGTTATTTTGTAATTCTCAGAAAAATAAAACACATACTAAACATAAATCATTCACTTATGATATCCTAGTCCCTAAATTTTGGTTAGTGAATAGAAGAAAATATTTCAATTATTTTTCTAATCAGATTGTCAGAACTATCCTTGTAACTGGGGTAAAATAATTTCAATCTTCAGAAGGGCATATTTAATTTGGCTACACTTGTAACAACAGAAGGCAAGATATGGAAGCCAAGGTATATTTTTCATTAATCAAACCACTGTTTATATATCTACAGTTTATATTCGTTAACTATTCACTGAGCATGGGATTTCGGTTTACATCAAACGACAAAAAATAGAATGTTCGAATATACACATAGTATTCTGTTGCTAATACAGTAGTGAACTGTAGAAGTATGTGAGAATCATATTCCGTTGGCACACACTGTCTCTATCATACCACCTCCTATTTCGATTCTATAAGCTTTAACTACCCAATGTTTCTAACGGGCTACTTCGCTGATAAATTAATGTATTCAGTCGATAATATAGAAGGTAGAAAGTGGGTTGTCGGCGCGCGAAGATGACTACGGGAAGATTTCAGTTGTCTTCACGTCAAATTGGTTAGCTCGACTCCTATCAGTTTGTATTTATTGTCAGCCTGCGACAGGCAGTGTGTATGTGTAGATGTATAACACCTTCCCAGTAAAAAAAGTTACCTATTCAGATTTAAAGATTCAAAACCTCAAACAAAAAACTTCATTAGAAGTGTAAAGTAATGACTATGTTAAGAAGAACCTATCAATGCCACCGCAATCCTGAATCTTAGAATGTTTCCTCTATGGAAGAATTACGAATTTTGCATAAAATCACAACTTTTATTACCATTGGGTTTCCTTGAATTATTCTTTCTTTTTCCTTCAGGTGTCATTATTTCAAATAGTCCACAAAGAATAGAATCAATCAATAAATATAATAAGCCAGTACAACAACTACTTAGTCATAATACTGATCATCCAAAAAAACATTCACCAATAAGAAGTCAGTTTAATGTCAACCAACCACTAGATCACGTGACCAGTCATACTATTGGTCGAGATGTAGTATTAACCAATCCAATTCATAATCCTACAGCAAATATACTAAGCAGTGCAATATTAGACAGACCATATATTAACGCAGATGAAATTCATACTTTATTTAATCGCAATATCCCCAATGTTGTTACACCAGTTGGATGCCATCAAGATTTTGGATATGTTAATCCACTCCATACGAAGATCAGTTCAACATTACCACGTGACTATCGGTCCAATAGCAATACTGATAGTGGTAGAAGTAATCCAAGATATGCTGACCAGCCATCAAATTGGTTAAATGCAGAATATCTTAAAGATATTATAAGCGATAAGATATTACGTGGACCACATGAACCATTTGTTGTTGCGTCACAACATGATGCTCTTTTGTCAGAATTATTAAATCGTGGTAAAGAGTCAAGGGTTGTAGAACCACGTCCAAAGAGTACATTTTAATGTACACTTACAGAAATCTAAACATATTCCAACTAATTATGTACATATCTACTATTAGAATTCCAATTATTACTTTATCATCAAATAGAATCTTGAGAGATGAAAATATTCGATGGAATGAACATTTCATGTACTATAAAAAATACATTTCAGAATAGACAAATACAAACATAGTTCCAGAAACAAGACGGAATAACGTTTGAGTCCAAAGAACCAGAAAATAATCCGAAAAATTTCTAGACACAGAGTAGAATATATTATACATTAATTTATTACCATTCTCTTGATTCGTATTAAGCCTGACATTAACAACATAATAAATATGTACAATTAAGAATATATCAAATTTAAAATGTAAAACTATATACGATTATATATATATATATTAGAAGTAAGCATAAATTGGTGAAATAAAAAACAAGTCCTTCACATTGCCATGATAGTATTTGAGAACTTCTGGGTATATCAGATAGATTAACAATAGTGACAAAAAAAGAAAGAATGGTCAGTGAACAAAGAATACTTTTTTCGATAACTTCATCATCAGGTTCTACAGTTACACATACATAATAGTAGATGAATTAGTGTTAACAACATTAATGTTTTTTAAGTAACATCGAATCAATAATATCAATAGATTATAGTTCAGTAGCATCAGCATAACAATAAACTGAATGTCAGAAAAAATTGGGAAAGATAATAATACAAATTCATGAATTTATAGTCTCTAATGAAAGCAAAAGCAGTAGTAGTGGCTGGACTTGTTTCTTTTCCAAACAAACCACTGGTTTTTTCAGGCGAATCGTGATTGCCTCTGTGGTTTGTAGCATGCGGTACCTCGATTTTTTCAGCGATTTACTTCGTACCCGGTAGATGATAGAGAAGGATTCTTCTACGCTGGTTTTGTGGCCGGTTTGGACCAGGTGGTCTAATATCGAACTGCTGATAGTTTTTACTACGCCTTTGCTTAGCCATACTGGTTAATATTCTCGAGCACGAAAAATTAAGTTGCCAGAGCAACGGCCAATATAACTCTCTCCACAAGCGCAGTTGAATTGATAGATACGATTTGAAGTGGCTAGTTTAGGTACTTCATTTTACAATGGAGAAATCACCATCTGTCATGTAGCGAATAAGATGTGTAGTTCGCCAGCATTAGAAGTTCTTTGAACTGATTTTCTTAATTTCCTTGTAATTCTTCGGCTTGGTATATCGCCCTTCACTTGCAGTCGCATGCATAAAGGCTTCTTGTTTACGGATAGTGGGTGGTCGTTTTCTGCTTTCTTTGTCATGTGTTTCTTGATGAATTTGTCGGGATAGCTATTTTCAGTCAATGTATCATCTACAATGCTTAATTAATCTTCAGTTACTTCTTCTGAGCATATAGCTCCAACCGTGTGGCTGAGGGTCTTCACTAAATTTCTTTTGTACTGGAGAGGAACGAAGCTGTGAAAATGTGTATATTGTCTTGTCCATGTACGTTTCCTAAACTAATTTCTCTTTATGCTACCATACTGTTTTCTTTTAAGGAGGATATCCAGGAAGGTGATTCTGTTTTGATGTTCCTCTTTGCACGTGAATTTCATAGCAGAATGTACTTCACTGAATTCAGTTATTATTGTGATCCTAGCCGAATCATTATCACAAAAATAAAGGTGTCGTCCACATAGCGGCAATAAAATAAGAATTTTCTGATAAGGTTTCAATCAGTTAACAAAGGAAAATAAAAACGATAGAGCAAACATTTAAAAGAAATTTATGTGAGGAAGGGGGAACGAGCGGGAGTGAAAACTGGAGGCTGGAAAGTGTACGATGGTTTAGCGAGTATCCAATAGCGACTACGAATCCCAAATAAGGCCTATTGATTTTGAAATATGCAGTGTGTAAGGTAGTGTGTACATTGTGTGAAAGTTTGATGTATGCTTCGAGTTTGTTTGTTTGTCCTTTCTAATGGAATTGATAGACTACTGAGTAGTGGATTTTTGAGTAGCACGGGAAGGGAGTGGTTGTTATTTGTGGTGAAGTTTTGGTATCTTGTGTGTGTGCGTGTGTGTTAGTGAGTGATTCGAGCCGGTGCGTTGATGTGAACGTGTGCATGACTGTTGTGTTGATGTGAGTGTGTGAATCTGACAGGTTTCTTGTGTGTTAGCAAATGGTTGTTTTGGAATATGGTGTTTGAAAATAAGGTGGCCTGAGCCATCTGGAGCCTCATGTCGATCCCATGTTTTTCTCACAAATAACATAGTCATCGTCCTTGTGGTTTGGTTAGTTGGAGGAAGATTCCCTCCTTGCTAAAGAACCAACCAACCAACCAACCAACCAGCCAGCCAGCCAGTTAGCCAATCTGTCGAGTCGACACAGAATTACATTCAACCACACAAATATATACATACGCTGACTACAAACAAACCCCTCCTCCCTCTCACCACATTATCCTCACATCTCGGTGGATCGCGCGCCAGCCAGCCATCTCCTTCCAAACAACTCACCAATCAAACCAAAACCACAATTGACAATCATGCCCTCGAAACAAACCGAAGTACTCACTCACCCACTCACCATCTCACTTTACATCAATCAACCAATCAGTCAATCAATGAACCAGTCGACTCCTTCATGTCTCCTGCCAGCTATATAAGAATAAAACTTGTGCACTGTGGTAGAGTGTAATTCCATTATGGGTAAATTTTGTTTTGATAAAGTCTCACAGTGTTATACAGTAATGTTTACTGATGACGTTTCGAGCACAATTTGTTGCTCATAATCATATCAAGCTATCTTCATCACTCAGCTCCACCGACCTCGCCGTCACTTGATAAGTAGCACGCTCCATCTCAGACAAGACAACGGGAATCCCACAAACACGCATACAACACAGACGGACCACTGTCTGACTGTATGTTTGTACCTTGATGTCGTGTGTAACTTTTTATGTTGTGTGAAAATTTGATGTATTCTGAGCTACTATCAATGGAATTTTTCGCTCATTCACCTTTATCTAGCCAAATTGTCTGCATATTCTCTCGCCTTTTAGGTGGATGGAAGTATAAGTATTGCTTAGCTGCTATAAGCTCAGTTCTGGAGCATTTTGAATATTATTACTGTGATTGAATTCATTTCTGCTCATTTATTCGTCGTAAATATAATTTTGTAGTTAATAATGTTTTCTTATTTTGTTGCTTTCTGTCAAGCTGATTTGCCAAATCGGTGAGTTCGGTAGCCATTTTTAAAAAGTTACCTATTCGACTTCTAGTGGGCATCTTAAATGCTGAGTAACTATGCCAGCATATAATCCGTTAAGTTCAATATATTTACCTGATGGATAACGTATTCTTTCAGTCACTGAGTCATGATAAGTACATAATAGTATGTTTAATTAGAAGATAGACAGAACACATTGGAAACATGTGTGCACCAAATAACTACCGATTTTGAAAAATGAATACTCGAAATGTAGGTATAGTGCGAGATATCGGAATGAAAAATTAAGAAAGACGAATCTGAAGTGCTTCCAAAATATATTATTGTATTCCAAGCAAAAATGTACAAGATAATGTTGTAAAAAGTACTCAAAACAAAGAAAAACATTTTTTGTGAATGTAAGACGCCAGCTACAACAGTGAATTGCTACATCCAGGTTGGCAAACGACATCCATCTTCTGAGTATGAAAAAAAAGATAGAAGAAAAGAACTTGAGCAGTGTTGAAAGAGAATGATTCCATCACAGAATAAATGCATTTGATAAAAGAGGACACACAGTGACACAGTTTTGTTTACTGACGATGACGTTTTGAGCCCACGTTATTGCTCATAGTCATAATATCAAGATACTCACATTAGTTTCAAAATTTGCTTATGTAGGAGTTCCATTATTTCTTATCCTTTGATTTCATCGGTAGTAATATTTTCCATATTTCTGGTATTGGTGTGCTGACTCATTCCTACGTCAAGTGTTAGGTGTAGACTCGATGAACAAAGATTCAGCAATCAATCTCTCCCTTCACCTACCTATATCACTTTTTTGAGTTGTAGCCCCACGCTTCACCCTGTTGTGTAACTACCTATTAGTGCACGCACTGAGATGGCTAAGTCTTTCTCTGAATTTCTAGTCTTCGTGTGGTAAGTCATTCTACACTTAATTAAATGTTCCAGTAATCTAAATACCCTCCTATCTACTGGTTTAGCTTATGTATTTTACCTCGAAGTCACCGCAAGGTATCTTGTAAATTATATTAATCTGTCTAATTGAGTCAGTAGGGTCCTTCAGCCTGCATAGCTTGTCTTTGAGTGAGTTTGTAGGTTTGAATACCACCCTAATTCTTGCTTTATCAAGAATCCTACGTAAGTTTTCAGATACCAGTTCCTTATATGGTAAACTTTGGGTGTTTTACATTCTTTATCATATATGTTATGGTTAGTAGTTCCATTATTAATTTCTTTCTCTTTTCTTCTGAGCTTTCTTAGTGGATTTTACGAGATAGTTATTTGACACCAACGCTTCCTCTGTTTACCTCATTTCGGATTATCTAAACTCAACAATTTAACTAAGAGTAGAATATTGAAACCTTGATGGCCAAGGTAAGGAAAGCGTCTGAACCAACTTCTTTGGGATCCTTAATTTGTTATAGAAATTTCCGTAAGTGTAGAATAATTGACCGCACGAAGATGAATAGTTTAGAAAAAAAACTCTGCCATCGCAATGCATGCATTAACACACAACCTCACAACATGTTGGAAGACAGAGCTACAATTCAATAAAGTAATATAGGTAGGTGAAGGATCTACACCTAATACTTGACGTAGGAATGAGTCAGCACACCAATACCAGAAATATGGAAAATATTACTACCAATGAAATCAAAGGATAAGAAATAATGGAACTCCTACATAAGCAAATTTTGAAACTAATGTGAGTATCTCGATATTTAAAACAATTAGTCCCTTTTATAAATTTTGATAGCGTTATTAGAAGACGGAGACTATCTGAAAAATGTGATGTATTAGCGCTATACATTTCGAACAATCTGATCACACATTTACTTGTCAAGTCAATATATATAGAAAGGTTAAATTAAACAAAGTGAGAGAAAACGGAATTAAGAATAATTAACACAAACGTTTGGTAATCCAATCAAATAAGGATTACCAAGGTAGGTTAAGAGTAATGACAAACTGTTTTTGAATACACAAGGGGGGCTTAAGTCTATGAATAGCTATAGCCTCAGCGTATTTCAGTAAACGCCCTTGACCGTTTTTATAGATGACCTTAAAGGCTGAGTTAACATCAATCTTATGGTTCATCTCGATTAGATGTTTAGCTATAGACGAATTTGGTAGTCTGCCACCTGCATCTATTAGCTTGTCACAATTCATCTGTTTTTCTAACCATTTTGGGATATGCTCTCCCACCCTCACGTGCAAAGCGCGATTACTCCTCCCTATGTATGTATGTCCACACACACACGAAAATTGGTAAATTGTATGGGATGTGATATAATCACTTGTGCACTTTTGGGGTTTACAGTGAAGCATATTTTTGGCTTTTTCCACAATTACAAGCTGGGCTGCATAGTAGGTTCTACGGATGATTGAATTCAACCTTTGTCTCACAATCCTACTGTTTATTTCCCCGTTATATGGTAATTTGATAAAAACCTTTTTCTTAGGGACGGTATGGATTGTAGGTTTAGAGGCTAGTTGACTTCTACACCTGTTTAAAAATTTCAAAGGATATCCGTTTTCAACAAGAGTATCCATTAATATTTCGTTTTCTCTGTCCATAACATCAGCCGTGCAAATACGCTGAATCCTCTTGAATAGACACTTCACCAAGCCCCTCTTATACTGTAATGGACAGAAGCTGTGAAAATTAAGGTATTGCCCTGTCCAAGTGGGCTTTCTGTAGATAGACCGTCTTATTGAGCCATCATCTCTTCGACTCAGAAGTATGTCTAAAAATGCTAGCTGGTTGCGACTTTCTTCCTCACATGTAAGACTAATATGATTTTGTACAGAGTTAAGTCTGTCTAATAGGCGACTCGCATCTTCATGATCGTCACATATCAAAATGATATCATCTACATATCTCCTATAAAAGGGCAATTTTGAAATTAAATCAAGGGATAAGTTTTCAACATAAGACATGTACACGTCCGCTAACAAAGGTCCTAATGGACTCCCCATAGCAACGCCATCCACTTGTCGAAAATGTTCGCCTTCAAACGTGAAATGGACGTTGTCAGTACATAATAATAATAAATCTTTCAAATAAGTTAAAGGGAAAGGGAATGAAAAACAACTAGAAGAAATATAGTCACAAAGAATATCAACAGTCTTAATCAATGGTACATTAGTAAACAAAGAATTAACATCAAATGAATACATTTTCCTATCTTTTATGTTCATATCTACAAGACAGTCAACAAGTTCAAATGTATCTTTCAAAGTAAACTTACATAATTCATTGAGTACTGGACTTAAAATATCAGCTAACCATTTTGCTAGTTTATGTGTAGGAGAGTTACACATTGAAAGAATTGGACGTAATGGATTGTCAACCTTATGAATTTTAGGTAGTCCATAGAGGTTTGGAAAATCAGATCCCATGGGTTTATTATGATATTTTGACTATGAGCAACAATAACTTTTGCTCAGATAGACATTAGAGAATAACATCATATTCTAAACACGATTAACGGAGTATTAAAGTATAAAAATATAGCAAACCTATTCAGAAAACTTACTTCATTTGACGACTGATCAGTCTTCTTTCTTCTTACTCTTTGATCATGAAACCAGTTTTTCGTTGCTCTTACAATACCTTTCAAAATCTCTTCTTTAGTCCCCCCCCTCCCCGTGTCTAACTGCTTTCTCATAATTACATCTGAACACAGTATGATAGTTTCACTATAATATGCATTGTCTTACCAACTATTAATGTATAGAAGGTATGACGTCGTACGCTTATTTTATCTACTGTTCCTTTATATGTCATTAAACGTGCAAGGTTTGTATCCAGTATGCTGCTTAATAGTCGACGAGTTGATTTACTGATGTTATTTTGAACTTTTAAAAACATTTGACACATCTAAAATAAAAGGGGTAGTTAGTGATTAAATAATGCAGTAATGTCTAATTACTATCTGTTCGTAATAGGATTTACATTGACAAAGTCTTCTATCAAATTCTTGTAACATATCCATTGTTTTGATAGGTAGCTTTATGTCATCTAACTTTTCAGCAGAAGTGTACTGAGGCTGAATCAATTCTTTTGCTTCTTCTGCTCCCAAGTGTAGATGTTGCAGAATTTTCATCTGAGCATCACAGACTTTCTGCAGGAGACCTACAAACAAAAGATGAATAACTCTGAGCTTTCATTGTACCTTGAACTTCTCTTAAAGATGTTACTAGTTCCTTCAGATACTTTGTTGTACTTTTTAATGACCTGAAATGGATGATAATGGCTGAGTAAAGAACTTTTTTACTTACGATATGGGGGTACGACTGATTGTAGGTACCGCCATGGCATTTTGTGATGAGATAAAATTACTGATTTTTATTATGGTTAGTTGCTGAAAGGCAATCTCACCAAGCAATCTTTCTGTTATCTTCCAGACTACTGTCACAGTCTGTGAAAATGTTGTCTTCAAATACGCGACTCTGATTTTCCATAGCCTCTGAAGGAAAATCTTCTTTGACAAAACATTCATCCTCATTAACACTACATATAATATTAGGTATTTATTTGTATACAAATGCCTATTCTAACATACATTCTTCGTCTTTTATTAGGGCTGAAAAAGACTGACTCTGATGACTGAATATTCTTCATTCGATTGAATATTTCTTTTGATTAGGTGTATGCTAGAAACAGCTTCTTTTAAACTGCCTACAAATGCATTTTAAAAAATTTTGAAATAAAAATAAAACCTGTTTCACAAAGGATTTCACAACTTTCAGCCATCCAACTCATATCAAAGCATTGTAGATCATAGTTTTCATCTTTCCCTTCTTTTTTACCTTCTGTACAGGTCTTGTTATTCATTTCATGTGACCAATAATCTCGACAAAGTAGAATTTTATTTTTTCCATTCACCACAGTAATCCGATATTTTCTCATGATGACTGTAAAAGTAGAAGGCATAAATGAAATGCACAATTTTATCATTTTTTAAGGTATATATTTATCCTGGTTAATTAAGCTGCAGGATAATTGTTAGGACAGAGACAGGATTATCTCTCACATGAGTTGTAAATTAGACATCCCTGAGAAATACCCATTCAAATGTGGAGATAAGAGCAAACAGTTTAGCAAAGTGACACATTTCTGTGGCGAATTCATTTGTGACTTCCCGCATTCTTGGAGTTATTATTTGTTAGAGGGTTGGATGCAGTTGGCAGGAAGTCCTGGACAAAGTTTCATGTAAATAGCTAAGGCGTCAACAATTCAAGGTATATGGAAGCATATCGTTTTCGGGAGGCTTCTTTTGACATACACACATACATACAGAAGTGATCAAATGGGATTATTTATCTCTAGAGTTATTGTAGGACATTTGGCAGCAGGAGAATACTAATGCAAATGTAGATGCAAAGAATATTCTTTTCAGAATGCTTGATATTCTTTTTTCTGGAGTGTCGCGAGAAAGCCGCCTTCCAATGCCACATTCATGTATAACCTCTTCTTTTTTACAGAGATAATGTTTTCTTTTTTGCTTTTGGATTTTATTTATTTACTTACGAATCGTATGTTAGTCATTTTCAGTAAGTGTCCCCCTCTAGACAGTGATCTTTTCATTTACCGACACAGGGCTGCAAATTCTTAGGATCCTAATCACAAGAGATATCATCATGTTTGGCTAGAGGTTTATGGTTACCAAACTGTAAAAGATTTTCATCTGGCTCTTCTACGTAGGCATTCGAACATGACCTGGACCTGCGACCGAATCATTGAATTTCTATTGGTTTGTCACCAACCAGTCAGAATGGAAAATTGTCAATGCGTACTCCTGAATTCACCAGTTTCAGTGAGCAAGTCTTGCCAATATCTGTGGCAGTAAATGTTGTGTGATAGTCATATCTAGACAACAGGTTTCAGGGTTAAATATATGAAATTGCACCTTCATTGTTCCATGCAAGTATACGAGTGTCCTATTATATCGAAAATGCTCATTTTACTGGTGTACTTTGTGGGTATGCCTTAACATCTCTCACTCGTCAAAATATGATTTTGATATTTTAAATTTGTAATCTAACGGTAATGTAAAATAACTATACAATTACCTGCTTCGCCTCGTCATTAATGTCTTTTTCCTGGGTAAATAAATATCCGTCTTCTCAGTCGGGTAATAGTATTCGAGTGACTAGTCATATATTGTCGTGTGCTGGAGTATCGGTTGGGATAAACCAAAGCCTAGTATTATCTTGAATACTTCAGTAATCCAAAACTAAACAGTTAGGCGAAGCAAACTGAGATTGTAAGTCACAATTCCGATTTAATCTGACTAATGTATGGGTCACTGGTAATAATAAAAACAAACTAACTGGGAGTTATCCATGTTACACTAGGCGTGCATGTGTTATGGCGTCAACCGTGACCCATGAACTTTCATTAGAGGACTGGATACATATTCACATTTAAATATTATCTGACTACAGTCAAATAGCTTTCGGAAAAATGGTGTTGTATCCTAACATGACCTGAACTTAGTAATCTTGTCACCCTCACCAGCCTCACTTATAATTCTGGGTTGATGACACGCAAAAATATAGTTGTGAAGTGATCATATGGAGTGAGATTTCCTTCCGAAGTCAAAAGTCTGTTTATTTAGGCTAATTAATATGCCTGTGGAAGTCACCTCTCTTTTGGGCCTAAAGACATTGAAGACACAAACGGATATCTTTGAAAACTCTAAAGCCACTCTGAGCAGTTTACGTCCTTTTGCATATTCGAGAATGCCATGAATAAATCTAAGTAGGAAATGGAAATCCTCAGAAAGCTGCTGCAGAACAGTCCCGGTAAGATGTCATGTAGGACAGACGATTTTAGACACAACAAAAATATCTTGCATTTAATAGCCTTTCAGAAAGGAAGGAGTTCTAAAGTTCTACATTTTCTTTAGACGTCTTTCTATGCTATCACTGTTCATGCCTATGAGTCTGCAACCAACTAACCTTAGCTAGACATCTAGGAGTTTCCCCAAAACACTTAGATAATCAAGAGTAATCTAGTCCAGATGAGACGCGTGCACTATATCAATAGCCAAACTTTCAAAATTATATGCTTTCCTATGATAGTCTACATCCGATTTACTTTTCATCAGTTTTTTCTCGGAGTATCAGTGTCCTATAAACTGCATGTTGGGGTTAAGCTATTTTCCCATCAAACGTAATCAGTCACAACTTTTCTTACCGTTACTGTAGTTTATGCAATTGATATTTTACCTATCAGGATTATCATGTGCAATATTCTTTGGATAGAAAGATACCTGTCTTCCACATTCATTTACAAATAAATTTTTCATCTCTCAAATAGGGAACTTTAAAAAAGAATAAAGTCCTCCTGTAATGAAAACTTCTACATACACCGATAAGAAATACATTACTGGTTTTACCAACCTACTCCGTATCGGTCAAAATTGCTGTATACTTTAGGTAATCAGTGTTATGATATCAAAAGATGAAAACTTACACTCAATAACTCAGCATGGACGCAAAAATATTATGCAAAACGATGTGGTGATGTATATTCCAATGTCTGGGGGAACGGATTATCTGTCTTCAGGAGGTATATTCCATATTCAGTGGTGTCCCAGGAAGATGGGTTTTCAGAATACGCATGGTTTTCCTTCCATCAATGTTAGGTCAGCAGAAGATATATTATAAGTCAGTTTTCCCCACATGATACGTAAACCAGAAACTCGATACTGACCTAGATTAAAGGTCACGTCATAGGAGTTTTATCAGTACATGCTATCCAGTCAGAACATAGTTTTGTATATCTTACACACTAGTAATTTATATCACGGAATGTACATATTAGACCACAGGAAATATTAAAACTACGGTTGTGGAGAAGGTTTTCTTTACAACAAAGTCATCTACTAGGTTTTATGCACAGTAAGTGAGTGAGATAGTTCCAGAACTGTTTCCGGTCCAAGGTCAAACTAACGAAACTGCGAATAGGGATAAAAATGCGACAATAAACAGGAAGATCGGATAAAAACGTAGTATCACCATTACTGAGAAGACTGACTCCTTCTGTGCAATTAGGGATTTAAAAACATATGAATAACAGAAACAAACAGGAAGTTTGGATAATAAGGGTAATAGGAATAATCAATATTGAGAGAATCGACTGCTTTTGATGGCTGCAGTAGAGGCAAAGATTGGATATTATACTTCTGGAAATATAGCGTGAGCTTAAATTTTTGGATTGTTTATGCCTCATCTATGCCCAAATGCCTTGATCTTACCCCTTTGAGAATTTTGATCGGATCTTGTATATGACTTTGTAATTTATTGGCTATTTAAAATATTCGATACTGAACATAGAATACTCTTTTCGATAACTTCATCATCAGGCTCTACAGTTATACATACATTATAGTGAATGAATTAGTTAGTGTTATGAACGACATTAATGTTTAAATAACATCAAATCAATAATATTGATAGATTACAGCTCAATAGCATCAACATAAAATAAGCTGAATGTCAGAAAAATTAGGAAGGATAATATTACAAATTCATGAGTTTATAGTTTCTACTGAAGGCCAGGGCAATATTAGGGGCCGGACTTGCTTCTTTTGAACACAGAGCGCTGGTTGTTTGAAGCGAATCACAATAGCCTCTGCTGTTTGGAGCATGCGGTGCTTCGATGCTTTTGGCAATTTATTTGGCATCCGGTATATTGTAGAGAAGGATTCTTCTACGCTGGCCTTATGACGGTTTGCACCAGACGTTCCAAAATCGAGCTATCAATAGTTTTCACCACACCTTTGCTTAGCCATGCTGGGAGATGTTCTCGAGCACGAAATATTAAGTTCCCAGAGCAACGGCCAATATAATTCGCTCCACAAGTGCAGTTGAACTGATAGATACAATTTGAAGTGGCTAGTCTAGGTACTTCATTTTTCAATCGAGGAATCACCATCGGTCGTGTAGAGAATAATACGTGTAGTTCGCCAGCATTAAAAGTTCTTTGAATTGATTTCCTTAATTTCTTCGCAATTATCTCATTGTAATTTCTAGTGAGTTTGCCATTTTGCATGAAGAACACGAACTTTTACAGCACTGTCCAACTAGGCCAATTCCGCCTTGAATAAATCTTCAGACCTTTCTAAAAGTAATTCCAGCATCTACCTCATAAATGAATAAATTCCGCAAGTGATTTCAATAGAGAATAAATTTATCAGTGTAGCAATGACTAAATTCCTGAACAGATCATTATAACATTGAAGTACTTTCATTTGAAATGCTTCAAAATGTATCTATGGCTCAAGTGAACTGTAGTCAAGATTTGACAGAATAGTTCTAAAATATTTGGGTGCCGACTAAGAAGTAGACATTTGTAAAATCTCAGCGATATTGAAATGAGTAATTCCAACGTTGGAATTACTCATTTCAATATCGCTGAGATTTTACAAATATAATTTTTTACAAATGTATCCGTTGCTAATTTAAAAGTAACTGCAATTGTTCAAAACTGAAGGATACGTTTTCATAAACCATCGCCAAAACTTATAATGGGACTTCATCACTCGACAAGTGTATATTACTCATCAATTAACTATTATTCCCACACTGAGAAGGACACAGAAGATTGAATGAAAAAGAAAATATTTCTACTGCTCCATTCTAAAGATTATTTCACTATAAATCACAAATATTTATTTATTGGAGTATAAGTCACAAATGAGTGGGTGTATAAATGAATAACTAAATAAATAGAGGTCAACCTAAGGTATAATAGACATGTGTGAAATAGATTATTGGGAAATGTGAACATGTGAATATAATATGATGCAAATATAGGATGAGTGAAACGTTGTCACAATGGCGGAATAGATAAGTTGTTAGAATATGATAACATGAAGTGAAGTAAAATAAAACAAAAATGGAACACGAAATAAAGAGGGATAAAAAAGTTTTGTGACACATAATCCTATACATTGATATTATAGCACTTCAGTATTTCCTTACACTGTCAAACTTTGACACACACACAGAGGAAAACTGATTATTATTGTCTATTACAATTCATATGATTGTACAGCTATGAAAATGAAATCGTCGTAAAGAGAACTATTTATATAGTTGCCCTACATAACTAATAAATTACTACTGTAAGATGCAAAAGTCATTTCTTGAACTGGTTAAAAAGTGCCATTACAGATCTATTCACCTGACCCTTTGTTATGTACTCGTCGAGTAGTTAATATTCCTGACGCAGAAAGAGGGAAATCAGAAGACCACCAGGTTTACGATGATACTTATATTTTCCAGACAAGGAAAATAAATGTCACACTAGTGTGTGAGTGAAAATGTACGAATGTCCGAACGTGAGAACAAGAAATATATATAAAGTGTGTGAGTGAAATGGTACGCAATGTGTGTGAACCAGAATACAGCACAAAAGTATATATGGAAATGACTAATACACATGATCCAATAGACAGTCATCTTACCATGATTGGTTGTAATGTCATATGGTAACAAGGTCATACATGTTTATTTAGTTAGTGGACAGACAAAAGCATATTCTCAGTTATAATGGAATATCGATCCATATACACATAGCAAAATATAACAGACTGTCAAAAACAAACACACTCATAATGTGACTACATATCACCCTTCACCTACATTAGGACTTGATATCTGGTTTACAGGTCACGCAGGGAAAAACTGGCTCAAACATATACCTTGAAAATAATTACTTCAAGCTGTCGAACACTGTCGTTAGAACTTGTGGAGGCTGCTGCATCCATATGGTGTACACGCTTCTTATCGCTAAAAAAACAACAGCAGAAGTATCCAGTCTGGTGATAATAGTCAATAATTCAAATATCTGTCTTTCCTTCCTCCTTCAGTACAGTGTCGATCCATGTTATTTCAATACGAATTAATAGTAAATATCGCAAACTCAATTATAGGGAGTACCAAGAGCACCTAATATCACCACCTTGTAATGAGTTTGACTGAGCACCACATAGATACAAGTGAGACCGAAGCGTTTCTGATGCGTAATAGGCCACACATACTAAACATATATATATACACATATATAACTACCAAACAACATTAACTGTTCACTTATATCCTCATCTCTGACTCTACTCTAATACGTATAACATTTTTAATACAATATATAAGAATTTACCAATCAAGTGGACATACGTTTGTTAACAAGTAATTAGTCAGTATCAACATGCCAAGTGGAATGATAACTAACGAAGAAAATTAATGTAAACAGTTAAAGGGTAGAAGTGGTTACATCAAGTGGATTGTGTAATGTATAAACGAACTATCATCTTACCAGATAAGCACTTTGAAATTAGGGCAGCAGAAATAGTCTAAAACTTATACTGACGTTCATTCCAGGCGTTTGTTAAGAAGAGTTAGAAAAATAAATAAGCTGTTCGTTACACCTCAACATCAATGTCTCTCAGACATTCTAAACTGTAGGTGTATTTATGTTATTCGTTTTCGACTTTTTATAAAGACGAAATAGGATAGGGCAACACTATTAAATTTTAACCCACTTTTCTCCCACTCCATGGGTGAATTCCTATCCTGCGTTTTCCCACATTCCACTCATTCTTCTCCTAACTTGTCTCCCATGTCTGCCCACATTTCTCATTGTTATTCACTAAGTCAAATCACCTAATCCCACATTTTCTAAAAACATCAAAGTAAGCCAAATGCAGTTATTTTCAAGGGGGTGAAATTATGCATGGGCTAGACATGGGGAGAAATGCGACAGTCTTATCCCACTTTTCACCCCAATTATCCCACATTTCCAACGGACAGTTGCCCACGTATCTAAAATAGGCTAACCGAAAGAATTCTATTTTCTTTCCAATTTAACCCAGTTTTTGGACTGAATGCATCCCACGTTTTGTCTTTATTTGCTCAACGTTTAAAAAATATTTACTGACTGAGAGACTGTATGGGTAGTAGGGTATGGATAGGTGAAATAATTTGTTCTCATATCTTTGACCTCATTATCTTTAATTGTGTTTTTTGATTTACATGAATATTATGCTTCCAGATAACCTTTGACCTATCTCTCATTACATTGATTTAACATTCTGAATGGCTAAAGATGCTGATTGAAATTCTTAGATAACTTGATTTGTGAACAAAGAATAATCTTTTCAATAACTTCTTCATCAGGTCCTACAGTTACATGCGTTCATAATAACTAGAGAATTATTGTTATTAACGACATCGATGCTACTGTAAATTACATTGAATCAGTAATACTGACCGATTACAGTATGAAAGTATCTGTGAGTGATAATATGCATAAAAAATGTAATAGTACACTAAATATCGGATAAATTAGGAAAAATAATAGAAAATTCACTGGACTATGAGTTCCACAGTAGGCCAGGGTGGTAGTAGTTGATGGTTCGACCCGTTTCTTTTGCACACAAAGCTCTGATTGTTCTAAGAGAACTGAAATCACCTCTGTTGTTTACAGTATTCGGTATTTAAAGGCCTTCTTTGAATTATTCGATGCCCAATAGACGGTGGAAACAGACTCTTCAATGTTAGGTTTTTGGCCTGTTCCTAGAATATTATATTCAGTCTGTGTACTGTTTGCTACAAAAGACGACTTATCACAAAGTTCAGTTGATCGATGCCGTTTTACAATAAAGGGAGTAAATCAGTGCGAATGTGATACTCTTGTCAGCTGTCCAATAATTTCAGTAGGTGCAGTATCAGTTGTGAATAGAGCATGTGGTTTCATCTAATATGACATGGCATATTTGAGTTAGTTTTTCTAGATAACTCTGTAAGTAATGACGAACTTTACAGACTACTACATGAATAATTATGTATTATGCCCACGGACTAATATCAGCTAGGGAACTATTGAAAACCGCGGAGTACTGAACAGATGTTTCATCCTAGTTTGCGGGTTTCGCTAAAATCACGAATGGGTAGAAGTTAGGAATCATGGGCCCCTGAATCAGGTTCTAGTGGCTTGAATGGTCTACGAATCATCCTTGTAATCGGAAGGTACTGGGTTCGAACCCCAGTGGGTGCGTACTTCTGAAGAGCACTGAACGAAACAGCTGTCCATGGTTTTCAACGATTATCTAACTGATATCCATCCGTGGCCAAACTTGACATGAATCAATCCCATACAAATTAACCCCATGAAAATCATGTAGCAATTCGGAAACTGAATGGAATTACCCTAGTAACCAATGTCATATGTTAACACGATAACATCAGTCGAAATCCGCGGCTTAGTTTGTTAATGATCTGTAACTATAGTTTCCCTTAGAAATTTATTACGTCATCAGTAAGTTTTTCATCTTTCAACATACTCGAGTGAAGTTCAAATAAAGTTACTCGAATCTCCAGGTGTGTCGGTGGTACAGCGGTTAAGACTCTTACCGATCATGCACATGGTTCGGGGTTCGATCCCTTACAGACCCACATCTGATATCGACCTGCAAAATTTGGGCTACTGACATCACATGCTGAAAATTCCATACTTGTACCAAAAATACGGTTTGGAATCAAGCTACAATCAAAATATTTAAACACTACCAAAATAGTGATAGTGGAATGGAAACCTGGGTTACGGCAAGATTCCAACCAGCCGCCTCCATTTTTCTACCAAATGAGCTACCAGACGCAACTGTGCTAACTAGGTCATCACTTCAGCACAAGTTATGCCCATCTATCATGTAAATGAATGATATTTTCAATTTTTGGTTTGTGGGAATATGATTGACCTCAGTATTGATCACGAACTGACTTCAGTTAGAGAACGATTGAGAGCCGAAGAGCACTGGAATGCTGTTTGATTCAGATTCGCCAAGCTTAAGCAGCGTGTGACCATGACCCCCAGCTAGGGATGGAACCTAGGATCTTCAGATTCCAAGGCAAGGTCGCTGATCACTCAGCCTCTGAATCGGAATACAGTGGCTCTAACTTTTGCCAATTCGTGGTGCACAGCCTCACCGCTAGGCAAGGCGTGAGAACAAATACTCACCGATGACATTAGTTGGAGGTCACACAGTATATAAAGCAAATTAAGGAAATTCGAAATACACGAACCACTCAATAAATGTCACTTTTATTCGCTCTTATTTGTGATATATGGTAATAATATTTCAATTAACTTATAATTTTAGCTATTAACACTATTATCATTGTTTTACATTTTTTGTACACTTTTGACTTTAATGTAACCACAAAGCAGCTATTATCAGTCCTGTAATATTATTTTTTACTTTTGTTTTTGCTGTTGGTGACCAAATTAGATGCAATACTGCACCAAATGCTGAAAATTCCGCAGACTATCATACTTGCTGTTTTGGAAGAGTGCAAATTGTAACTGTTTTTATTCTTAGATTCCATCTCAGTGGATGAATAGTCAGTCAGTTCGTCTTTTAACATGAAGGTCCTGGGTCCTACCCCTGATTGGTGTGGTCAGGGATCCGCACTTCTGAAGAATCCCAAGCGAGAATGAAAAATGCCGTCCAGTACTTCCTGGTTTTTAATCGTTCTCTAAGCGAAATGAATTCGTGGTCAAAAGTGATATAAATGGAAATTTAATGTTCTTTTTCCAGAACACTAGCTGCCCACTTAGATCTCCTGTCAATCCTAATCATGCTGAATTATAAGCGAAAAAACGGATTATTAGCTGATGCAGAGACTGAGGAACCTTTAGCTTTATTGACAGCAGTGCAGTATAATGAGTGATTTAGTATCCTGACAACCTAGTGTCACTTTGTGTTCATGTATTTCTCTCTCAGTGTCAGTTTTCAATTTTTGCAATGTACAATGTAGGTTTCAGGATTTCGTCATGAGCTGACACTGATTAGAGAGCCACTAGAAAACCTGCTTCGTCCTAGTTTGGGGCTCCTCAGCAGTCCACACCCCCGGGGTTAAAACCCAGGACCTTCTGGTTACAAGACGAGTTATTAGACCATTAAGCCACTGGGACCCGATCCAATGGCCCATAAATCCCTACAAACCAATACTTGAATATCAATAAGATGCTCACTTGCGACTGACCCTAATCAGGTAGGTAGTTACCTGGGGTTCTAGTGGGGTGCAGCATTTCGGGTGTGAGGAAAATTACTTGCCCAAGACGTTGGCTAGGACCAGTCGCACTATATCATGCGTGAACTGGCAGAAGTTGGAATGCATGGGCCACTGGATTGGGTCCCAGTGACTTAATGGTCTACGAGCTCGTCTTGTAACAAGAAGGGCCTGGGCATGAACCCCGGTGGATGCGTACTGCTCGAGAGTCCGACACTAGGATGAAACAGCTGTCCAGTACTGCCAGGTTTTCCAGTGGTTCTCTAATCAATGTCAGCTCATGATGAAATCCTGTAACTAATTTATTTTTGTATTATGTTTGGCGGATTGACACTACACATACATATACGAAAATTATTATATATATAAAGTGAAGGCGGGAGTAAGACAGTGCTGTCTATCTTCAGTGATTTTCCTGATTGCAGTAGACTGTATAATGCGACAGACAGCGAGCAGCAGGGAGATAGGCAAAAAATAGACCCACACAAAACACTTGGAGAATTTGGACTTCACCGATGATTTATGTCTGACTTCCTACAAACTAGAAGATATGCAAGTGAAAAGCAGTAAGTTGACAGAAGAAGCATCAAAGATAGGACTCCAAATAAACACAGAGGAAACATAGGTGTTGAAGATTCCTGGCCAACAGAAACAGTAGCAACAACAGACAACAATCAGCATAAATGGGAGGAACCCGAAAGAAACAACCTCCTTTACCTACCTGGAAAGCATCGTTTCAACTACAGGCGGAACTGACGAGGATATCAAAGCAAGGATCGGGAAAGCAAGACAAGCTTTCATTACTCCCAAGTCTGTGTGGAGGTCGACAGCATTCAGCATGAAAAATAAGATGCAGATTTTCAACTCTAACCAGGAACCGATCGTGCAGCGAATCTGCTGGAAGAAATGGAGATGGATTGGCCATACTCTGAGGAAACCATCAAGTGACATCTCATGACAGGACATTACTCGAGTGGAACCCGACCGGGAAGTGGCGAGTTGGTCGTCAGTGCGAGGGTCACATGGAGGATGTCAAATGAAGAAGAGATGAAAGTATGTGGGCAGACATGGAGCTGGGTGAAAACGCTGGCAGAGAACCGAAATCAGTGGAGACGTGCGGCTGAATCCCTGTGTTCCTCTAGAGACTAAAGGAAACAGTAATAATATGTACAGGCATATAAGAATGTCTACTATCACCTATGGTATTCCTAAATGTTGTGGACTGGATTATACGTCAGACCATGGATAGCGAGAAGACAGAAATTCATTGAACTGTCAAGAATACTCTAGAAGGTCTGATTTCCGCCGATGATTTATGTCTAATGTCACATTAATTGGAAAACGTACAGGTAAAAACCAACAAGTTGCCAGAAGAGACGGGCAGCAAAGATACGTATTCAAGTGAACATACAGAAGATGGAGGTAATGAAAGTAACCAAACAACAACAAACACTAACCATCACCAACAGGAGAAATTTGGAAGAGGTCATTCGCTTCACTTATTTCTCTAAGCAGAATCATCTCAAATACAGGTGACAGCACAAATGAGGATATCAAGGCATGACTGACACTCATCACTCTAGAATCAGCTTGGAAGTCTACTGCACTTCGCAGCACAAAGAACAAGGTTTGAATTCCTAACACCAATGTTAATTCATTCAGTTCTTCTGTATGGATCAAAATTCTTGGTGCGTCACGAAAAGCACTTCCGAAAGCCAACTGCAGACTTTTATCAATAGCTATCTTCTCTGGCTTCATAGGGAAGATAAAGTGTCTGGCTAGAAAGGATTAGCAGCAAGAAACTATAGGGATAAAACAACTGAGGAGCTATTGCTCGACAAGTATGGAGAAGAAAATGGAGATGGATCGGATGTACGCTCAGGAGACTGTCGAGTGACACCGTCCTTCAGGCCCTCAACTGGAATCCGAATGGGAAGCGACGAGCTGTGTGTGGTTCCATGGGTGACACGAGGGAAATGAAAGCTTATGGGCAATCGTTTGGGGGAGCTAAAGAGGACCGCAGAGAACAAGACAAAATAAAGCTCCGTGTTTCACTCAGAATCCAAGGGAACTATATATATATATATATGGTCATCGCTTCTTAGCTTTTGTGCATGTTACACTAAGTATTACTACTAATAATAGTAGGAAAAACTTCCAGAATCTGTTGTGTATGCATTTGGTATATCTATATTTTTTCAAACCAAGTCGTAAACTACTTATACGCACGGTTCTAAGTAATATAATGCAGTGAGGTAAGGAAAATTAGAAGAAATTTCCTGAATGAGCTATTTTTTGAAAGACATTACTCTGATTTAAATTACGTCCATAAATGTTCCTTATATTCACATTGTGCATGCACACAGTTGTTATATCGATGCTAATACTGATGGATAATTTATTACCCCACCATATTTTTCACGTATTTCTTCACTTAAACAATATTCTTCACGTGTTAATTGTTTTCTAAGCTCGTTTCGTCTAGCGCCAATTAATACTCGTCTAACTTTGTCATTTGAGGTTAACTGTTCTTGTGAATTATTATGACTGCTGAAATTATAAGCTGATGAATGTCTTCTTGGATTTGTAACCAGTTTATCAATTGTCAATATATCCTCATATTCTTTGGCATTAAAAAATTTAATTCTGTCTGGTACACTTCCGTCTGATGAATAACCTTGAGTTACATCATAAAATGGTGGTGATACAGTATTCCTGTTCTGTTTACGAACTAACTGAAGTGTATTCATGTGGTCGACAAAACGTTTACAGTGTGTTTGCGTGTAGACTGAAAGTCTTTTATATTTTCTTCCTTTCCCTCGTTCGTTTTTCTTTTGTTTTGTCCTACCTGGATAACTGTAAAGATTGATACATAAGGGTTAATCGACTTTTCTGTTTTAAATTATGCTGAATTGAAGGTCAATGTGAAATGATCTCGTGATGAGTAATGTTTATGGGGTTATCTATTGTGTGTTTAGATAATAATAAATATTTAGATAAGTCCATGCATTTTAAGCTTTGAATCTTATCAGTAGATATTTCAACTTTAACTTAAGTATTATTTTCAGTATGCATAACATCACTATGGATACGTGAGTAACCTTTATGCAAGGTAATTAAATAAGAACCTTTAAACGATCCTTTTCTTTTAGTGAGGAAGAGAAATAAAACTGGGGATAAACTTCCCCTATTATGGCGAAAAAATATTTTTATTTTCGTTTATTTCGATAGTTTTATTAAAAGATAATCTCCGTCTTCTAATGATACTATTCAAATTTATTAAAGGGATTAACTGTTTTATGCTTTCAATCATATTTACTTTAAAAAATGGAATATCATACCGTTTATTCTTTCATCTTCATCCATCAACTTCTCAACATTCTTACGTAACATAATGTCATTTTTAAACCTGTAACTAACATCAATCTTCTTTCAGCTGGGCTCCAGAATATTCTTTTACATTTTTCTATCCGTTCTACTCTTAGTGTATTCATGTTGCGTGAATTCATCTTTAAAGTTAATTAAGTAAAGAATTATTGTTACCATTATTCCCTTGAATTCCAGGTGAAATATAGGGCTTTGACAGCACATCTCTATTTCACTAGGTTTTCTGAAGTTTCTTTTGGCTAGTTGTACGATCTTCCAGAAGCTCTTATGCCCCTCCCCCCTCGAAGGACCTTTATTTAACCGTAGGCAAAAAAGTCAGCTCACCATTTCCCATTCACGTTCTACTAGAAGGCCAGGCACGTGATGTTACTCATCGGTCTCCACAGAGCTTGTCCGATTTACTTATCTCCATTTCTTTCTGCTTATATGTCGGGCGACAGGTTTATGGCCGGCAATATTCCTTGCTGTAAAGCCTTTTTGTCCATCTCATGTTCACTATCGAGCAAGCAAACAAAGCTTTTGGTAATAGTTTGCAGTAACTTGTTGGAAATGCCTTTCAGGCCAGGCGTGTTAAGTCTATGAATCATGTAGAAGCACTCATTGGACATTAGTGTTGTAAATCCAGATCTTCTTCCTTATGCTAAATGCAGTGAATTTCCACGCTCATTTAAGAGTTATATAAAGGTTTGTCCTGCTTTTCTGATCCAAGCTTTGATATGATCGAGATAAATTGAATTTATCGACTTTCAGCTTTTCAAAACTTAAACTTGTTCAGAGCTTTAGTCAAAATTATAGGTGCCAGTCATACATTATGTTTCTTTCTGTTAGCGCTGACAATTTCATATGATCTGACCCATGTCTGATAAGCTGGACGCTAATATTTTTTCTCTTATAATTCTCGAACAGTCAGATTCTATTTTCTAAATAATACGGTTAAGTTAGTCCAAAAATCTTATCCTTAATTTGTTTACAAATTTCATATTAGTTTGTTCAGTAGATGTATCACACAGTGAAACAGTATTATTTACCGGATGACGTTTCGAACAAAATGTATTGTTTATAATCATATCAGTTGTAATCACATGACTTTGAAACTTGAGTTTTACAGATTTTTGTCTTCCCCTATTTGTCATAGGGGTAGTAGAATTTTCCAGATATCTGGGACAGGTGTTGAATCATTCCTATTACATGTATTTGCAGTTGATTCGATAAACAAAGCTTCTATTATCAATCTCTCCCTCCACCCTGTGACATTAGATTTTAAAACTGTCATTCTATCCCATCCTATTGTATGGTTGTGTGTAACTGCATGTAATGCTATAGCTGAACTATTCTCTAGATTTCTTATCTTATTTGGGTCAACCAGTCTAGATTTCGCTAGATTTTTATGTTCGGCTAGTCTGACTGCCCCTGTCGTACTAGTTTGACCTATGTATTTGAACTGACAATCATTGCAGGGTAGTAAATAAACTAAATTGTTTTGTTTTAAAGGCTCCACCGGATCATTTAACCGACACAGCTTGTTTCTAACTGAGTCTGTGGGTTTGAATGCCACTTTTATTCTTGCCTTGTTAAGAATTCTGCGTAAGGCTTCCGAGGTTCCTTCCTTGTATGGAATTACTACTAATGATTTAGATTCCTTATTGTTGGTGTCGTCATTATTATTATCATCACTATCGCTACTATCATTATTTATTTTATTTTTACTTTTCCTTACATATTTCCTGACTAATTTATCCGGGTAATTATTAAGTTTCAAGGCTTCTTTTATGTGTACTGTTCAAGGTGTCCAGCATTTCTGTAAGATCAAATGAACTTGTTGAAATATACATAACTTCCGTGTACAATTGAAAAATACACTCTGCTGTTGGAGACTTCGTCTTCTCCCTGGTCACTTCTGCTTACTTGCTCCACTCACACCGTGTTGTATACTTCGGATTTATTGTAGGAGCCTACTACTTTCAACCGAAGACATTTCTACAACCGGAACAGAGCAGCTACAGCAGACGCAGTCCAAACAGTTAACGTGCCTGTGGATTATATAATTAATTTGTAGCCGAGGACTTACACTTTATAACCAAGTAATCCTTTTTGTTGCTATAACTCGTCACTGTATTTTTGGTAATATATTGTGATTTAATACTCCACTGACTTGGATTATTACTTTTATACTTGGAATGTTAGTGAACTCTAATATTAGTCCCCTACAAACTTCTTACAGAATGATTTGATTCAGCGCTCTATTTTTCGTAAACAAACATGGACTGGACAATATCTTCATTTTACCAGTTTTGTTCCTATCCAGTATAAACGTTCCCTAGTGAAATGTTTGTTCTCAAGGGCCCGAAAAATATGCACGAGTGACACACTGATGGATGAGCTTCGACATGTACATTCAGTTTTATTAGCTAATGGTTATCCGGAGAGCTTTATCACATGTCACAGCAAAGAAAAACCACATCTCGAAAAGACAGCTTCTGTACCAAAGAAAGCCATCTTTATTAATCTACCATTCAAGGGCGACCAGATTATGCAGTTGACAACTCAAAGACTTCGATCAGCCATCAAACGCACATTCTACGCCGCATCTCTTTTTCTCACTTGCCGAACATTTTCGATCCCTGTTCCTACGATTAAAGGACGAAATTCTGTGGACTCTACTTCAAACTGTATCTACAAGTTCACCTGCAGCTGCGGTGACACCTATATAGGTAGAACTAACAGAATGTTCCAATGTCGTCGAAAAGAACATATTCCAAAATGGCTAGTAAATCATATCGAAAACCCTAACGCGATTAATCTTAATAGAAATCCAGCATCATCCATTGCAAAACACTTATTAATGTCTGGTCACAAAATAAATATTAATGACTATTTCCTAATTATTTCACATAACTCTAATTCAAGGTTATTGAAGGTGATGGAAGCACTTTTGGGGATTAATCACATACAGCCTAAACTGTGTGTACAAAAATCAATAGACTTCAATCTTCGCCTACCCTGGACTGCATGACCTATCTTAATATGATTGGTCATTAGTATGTACTTTTGTTTTTATTTAACTGAGTAATTTTCATGAACTTTATTTTATCATTGTTAACCACGTGAGTTGTAAAGCGGTTGTAAAGAAACTATGAAATGATATCATCTCGCGAAATTTGTCTTCTTAATGCCTTGTTCACACTTCTGTTTACCAAGAGAAATCAATCCTTCAGTAAAGATTATCGTAAGAATATGACGGCTAAACAGAAAATAATACTGTATTCCATCACCGTCGTTCCACTAAACTTTAAATTATTGTTCTTATATAGTTGACTACTCTATATTTTATTGTACCTTGTTGCGCATCTTTAATATTGCAACCCCCAGTAACAAACTTGTTCGTCTCTTGTTTTATTTTTTGGTCTACAGCTTGATGCCACACTGTTTTTTTTTTGGTACAAGTATGGAATTTCCAGCATGGATATCGGTAGCCCAAGTTTTGCAGGCTGACTATAGATATCTCTAAAAGAAGTTCTGTTCTTATAAGGGTAACTCTAAACTATAGCGAACCAAGTAATGACCTTCATCAACCCATTCAGATGGGCCCATGGTAAATACGTATAATTTGAAAAAACTTTTATAGACACCAAAATTAGTGTTATGTTCATCAGTGGTACAGTGGTAGAATGCTCACCAACTATGCATGCAATTCGGGTCGGATTCACAGCCGATGAACCGCTTTAACTCGCCAAGCCAGCAATAAGACCGATAAACAGGGAAGGTCAGGCATGAGGCTAGCAACCCCATTCCATAAAAATAAATATCACTGGTACAGAAACTTCAAGCCTCTATTTTGGAGCCCTATGTTCCACTGGGAACATAAAGGATTAAAAAACGTTAGTGTTAAAAAACAGTTGTGGAGGGTAAATTTCTCGTATGTCTCCTAAGCAAACCTCCTAATTTTTTTTATTGCAGTCTTCAGTGATAGTCTAAACCTATTTCTGTACATAAATTCTTCTACATATCGTGATCCGTCTACCGCTCTATAGAACCCATCAACCTAAAACAGGAACGACATTTCTTCTCGGAAAGATATTCTGTAACCACAACCTGGACATCTGTATACATATCCATCAGTAGTGGCTACATACCTGTGTAAAGACATTATTCCTCCCCATCTACAAGCTGCATTTAAGCCTATCATCTTGACAATACTCAAATATTGAAATAATAGAAAAGATTTGTAACTCAGGTGGATGATTTGGAATTGATAGTGTTCTCTGAGCTCCTTGGTTTAATTGCGGAGCTTTCATCGTCTTTCTGGACGACATCTTCATGAAGAAATTTAAGTCATTTCACTTTATCCTAAATACTGCGCTGAAGATGTCGTCCAGAAAGACGATGAAAGCTCCGCAATTAAACCAAGGAGCTCAGAGAACACTATCAATTCCAAATACTCAAATATTACCTATTGATCGAATTTGCAGTGTAATTC